GATGGTACATATTTGATGGAAACGTACAAGCTATATGCTATTTACACTGCCAGAAGTTCAAGTTGCGATCAGAACACCGCATATTTTTGTCTGACACACTTTGCTTGTCCTTGGTAGTAGAGCCTGAAGACATGTTTTTAATCCATTTTTTTATAATTTAAAAATGATCTTTTCTCTTTGTGTTCAACGAGCTCTTTCTTTCTCTTGTTTATCGTTTATCACAATTTTTGCATTCCATGATGTATACTCCATCTTTTGCTCTAGACTGTCTCTATGGTGCATTCTCAGTTTTCTGATAGAAAAGTTTGGTTTCGTAACTGCAGAGAATTTTTCTTTTTTTTCCGTATTCTGGGAATTTCCATTAGATTACTAACGAAGAGAACGGTGACACGTTCTTTGTTCCTGTCCTCTTTCCCGTTTTCTTTGTTCTTTCTCTTCTCCAGCTATTTTTGTTTTTCTCTTCTCCAGTTCTCATCATGCCCTCTTCTGTATTCACTGACCAATTACCGTAGCTACTTATTCTCAATGCGTCCGTAGTGATGTCCTTTTTTCCATTTTTTTCCAAGTCAGAACAGTTACAATCTTGTCACATCTGTCTCTTAATATTGTGACTACTCCCAACTTTTGGTGTAACGGATGCTTTGTACTAAATGTCAAGCATCGATAGGTATGGGTCTTTTTTCTATACACTATTGCTGTCACGTTGCCATTCCTCGCAACTCAAGTGCCAATGAAGGAATTGGTTCATTTTTTTCCAGTTTCATATGTGAACTTCATGTTCCTGCAAAGTCACTCATCTTTCTCTGTTCAAACCTAGGAAATGTATTGAAACACCTAAAATAAAATTACCTGATGTCGGTATTTTTTCTTTGGTCAGACATTTAAACTAAAATATCTAAACAGAAATAGTATAATACACCTAAATCAAAGTGCAGGGAGGGGTCGCAATTTGTCTTAATTGTAGGAGAAATTGACTTTGGCGCATTAAATTCCCGGACGCCTTTAGCATACTCCACATATAATAAGACACCTGTGCGCCGTACACCTGCCCAAAACTGATAGGTAGATGTCCTGGTGAAATCTGGCGTAGTAAGTCGAAAATTTGACAACTAAAAAAAAAAATTATTACATACAGGTAACTGTTTGTGATACGGCACGAACAGATCCCGGATAACAAAAAGAATGGGGGTCTTTTTATGTCTTTGATTATAAATCACATTTTGCATAACTTTAAACGTAAAGACTGAACGCGCAAACAGTTTTTTTTTCGATGAGAAGCTCGCTTGTTGAGATAAAAACGCAGAGATTTCAGTTTTCTTCTTGACCTCAGTGACACTCGTTTTGACAACGTGACGCGGCTGTAGTTGTACATGTAGAGTAGTAATCATAGGTGTAGCATGATACAAGCAAAGGCGCTATTTGCAACCAAAAGCTATTAAAACTATTTGTAAGATGTTGCCTGTCACTTTTACCTTTAAGGGAAAAGTGAAAGGATAGTGGGAAAACTGATAAGGGTGAATTTACAGATGATAAATGTCCAAATGCGTGTTGACAAGGTGTACGGGTGGCCTGAGATCGTTTTGTCTAAACGTCATAACACATATTTGACTGCTAGCGTTTTAGTAAAATTTTCGAAAATAGCGAAGAAAACTAATGTACTCATTAATAAAGTAATACATAAATTGCATAGCCTTACATATTTTTGAATGACGTATCATTGGTTTACTCATGTTAGAACTCGCTTATAAAGATTTTGATGACCGACAACTGCACTGTAGCCGGTAGGAAATAAAAATTAGATAATCCCTCCTCTATCTTCCGCTAAAAACGGGTGTCAAACCTGTTATTCGGATGATTGTACACGGAAGTATGTGAGGAGATCGCGGAATATATTATGCTGTCTTGGTCGTATGAAGACCCACCTGCTTCAGGCCACAAGGCAACTTGGACTATTGTTCTCCGTAGTAATTGACGCAGGTAAAGAGGTGCGGATTTTACTGTTAGCCGTCCGAGCTGTCACTCATCGTGGAGCGCAGATGCTGCCAACAAACCCGAGCTGCATACTTAAAAAAAGAGCAGATGGACCCAGAGAGACATGCATCCGTGTGGTGTACATCTATCCAATCGATTGGATTCTCACCTGACAAAGGGGCAGATGCTGGCAACGTGACAACAAGAAACAACGTGTTAAACTGTTCAAGGTATCAGGAATACGTGCATGAGCAGCCCAGAATTAATTCAAGTTCGGAGACCGAGGTAGTGAATGTTATTGAGCCCAAATGCTGTTTTTCGTGTGAAACGCAGGCCAGCTCAAAGCCAGGTAAGACTTTGAATTTTGATTTTTTTAACTGGTAAAACGTCATTAGATATTGTGAAGTTGACGGTGTAGCGTTACATACTTTAAAAATTGTGATAAATCACAATACAACAAATTTTCATGAGGTTTGATGCACTGTATACTTTTGTGTTGCACTGGGAGAGATGAAAGATAATTTTATGAGAAAGAAATTTTGGATTGTTAAATAATAGGAGCACATTGAATTGTTCTCTGGAGTTGAACACATAAAATTCAACTCACTTGATATTTTTTTTTTGTATTTGTACATAATGTTGGAACATTTTGTGTTAGTACAGCATGAAAGCGACTTGTTTTGGGTTGGTCTTAAAAAAGTCAAATTTACATTGTTATGATTTGTAATATCAGTACAACCTGTAAATACTGGTACATGTACATACATTTGATCACTACAATACTTATGTCAACCCAACATTTAAGGCTGGCAGACCTAAATACAGGTGCACAGCATGCAAATATTAAGTGTGTGTGTGTGTGTGTGTGTGTGTGTGTGCGTGGGTGTTGTGTGTGTGTGGGGGGGGGGGGAGGGGGGGGGGTGGGGGGGAAAAAATTAAAAAGAAAGAAAA